ATCCGACTTTATCCCTGGACATTCACTAGAAGAGCTCAATATACAGACGTGTTGATTTACTGCATTTACACGTAGGCCAATCTCATTTGTTAAATACCGATCCATTGATACTCAGAAAAACATATTTTTGCATAAACATTCTTTTTGCTCCTTTTGCATACATGCTGGGACATATCTATGCGTACCTGGAGTGTAGTAATTAAATACAGACATACATAAACACACAAAACTCCTCTCATCCTCCGATTGACTTCTGTCCATTTCCATTCCGTTCTACGATCCATTCCATTTCAGCGAAACCCTGGACATCGGAGAAATGAGTTGGATATTTGGTCAGTACACCAACCGGAAAACACTATAGAAACCACACGGGGGTTCTGTCAGACACTCGGTACGCAGAGCACTAGTCACGCCTGAATAGACTAAACAACAGCCCACAACGAGTCCTGGGCGCGAAGGGCTTGCAAGTGTTCTGGTTCACCCGAGGTATACCAAGACATGCGCGTGTAGCACTGGTAGAATCACCGAGTGGGTCAAAGGAGGTCTCATGTAGCGGGTGCAGATATGCACCTTGCGACCCCGTGCGAGGGCAGATGGGTTGTCTGGTCAAAGACTTAGGACTACACCTGGATGCTACAGATTTGGGCCTAGAAATGTCTCAAATCGCTCGCGTGTCGATGTACTCTACGAGGAGTCAGGCGATATGGTAGGGTACCATCCTATGGCACTATTTTTGGCAGGAGACTACCTTGGCACGAGTAGCTCATCCTGTCTGTCTACTCGGAAGACTATACTACTGTTTGCAAGTGGCTCTAAAACGGTTTGCGATGCTTTATTGTATACACACTCTATGCAAATGTGGAGTGGTAAGCTGAGTGGTATATGAGAGCACACACCCAGTGGGTGTACACACAAGCGCACATACACACACTAAAGTACCAGCTCTTTGGGAGAGTATTACAAGCGAGCGTACAAGACCATATGAATCGTCGCCTGTACACGTCCCGACATCCGGGATGCTGGACGTTGAGTATATGGGGTTGGGTGAGAGTATCGGAGATGCGCGTAGTGTAGGGTCACAGTTGGTACGTTAGAGTACACGAGGGCCCGTTTTGTCCGTTAACGCACACGAGGGCTGATTGATTGCTTTGCGCACGGGGTGTGGTTGACGTTTTGGGATACCAATGGTCAAGTGATAGCACATACGTAGTTGAATATAAACGCGTCGGCAGGGGATAGATGGGCCTGGTTGGCGGGACGGGGGAGGGGGGAGATTGCAGGCGTACGCATGAACCATTGAAGCTTTGTGCTTGCAAGGTGAGAGACCAGCTACACCTGCGTTCGACCGAGTTGCCGAGCACCTGTGAGTGTGTTGATCAGCACACCTATCGTAATAGTTGAGTCATAGATAGACACGTAGATACGATCTGGTATAAGCACCTCCTATGTAGAGCACCTGCGAGTGTGTTGATCCGCACACCTATCGTAATAGTTGAGTCATAGATAGACATGTAGATACGATCTGGTATAGACACCTCCTATGGAGAGCACCTGCGAGTGTTGATCCCTATCGTAATAGCTGAGTCATACACAGGCACGTAGTTACAATCCGGTAGAAGCGCCTCATACACAAAGTGTACTTCAGTACACCAGCAACATGCACAACCGCTGGGGCGTTGGTCGCCTACACGGCTGCAATCGCTGCATCGTCCCAAGGCTTATCGCACACTGGGACTATCGTACATATACGAGTGAGTGCACCACGCAGGAGCGTGCAACGCAAAGATTGGCACGTGGCAGGATCAGTGGTGGATGGACGTGCACAGTGCTATAGGAATGCGACTAATATATATCCATCGTTGGTCCTATGAACACATTGCTGCGATTGTCGGATTCTGCTTTCTAATTCGTTTAACAGGATTAAGCTCGACAGGAGTAGTAAGGGCTTGCGGACTGCGCTCGATTGGTGTGCCTGTACAGTCGTTCAGCCCCTGGTGCGAATGGCCATATAGGGGGTACCTTCGTGAGTGTTCCGGTGGGGTATATAACAGCTGTGCCATCAAACGGGTGGGTGGGGAACGCAATTTGTGGGAACTTGTACCTCTGATTGAGCAGCTAAAGCTCCGCTAAGACAGTTGATACTAGTAACCGATGTAAACGCATGTCAATATATGAGCCTGCATGTTGTTCGTACGTACTTGAGAGTACAGTATGGGGAGTGAGCTCAAGAGACCGTCGCACAGAACATAGAAGGGAACGAACCAAGCACGCTGTAGGTAGACTTTTTTTGGCTCCATGGAGACAAAGACTGTAAGCTACTGTACTCACACAGTGCGCGAGTACACACATCCAACGCAGGTCGGATGAGGTGTATTTTTGGGGATTCATGACCAACTCAGCTGAGCATAGTAGTTCATGACCAACTAAACTGAGAATAGTAGTTCATGACCAACTCAGCTGAGAATAGTACGTGTTTCCAGTCTGTAGTGCAGGCAGTATACAGTCACACATTGTACGCACTGCAAGCTGCATGGTTATATACTGATACTGATATCGCAAAGAAATATGGATCTACTGATCACGATGGCCCCGAACGCAGTACAGTGATATAAAGTGTCAGGCATGAGACATAGCTGCAAACTGCACACCAGCACACACATAATCACGCCGACTATCCAAAGTAAGGAATAGTTGAGGGGATCTGAGTACAGTGTTATAAAGTGTCAGGCACGAGGACATCGCTGTAAACTGCACACCAGCACACACATAATCACGCCGACTATCCAAAGTAGGGAACAGTTGAGGGGATCTTAGTACAGTGATATAAAGTGTCAGGCACGAGGACATGGCTGTAAACTGCACACCAGCACACACATAATCGCGCCGACTATCCAAAGTAAGGAACAATTGAGGGGATCTTAGTACAGTGATATAAAGTGTCAGGCACGAGGTCATGGCTGTAAACTGCACACCAGCACACACATAATCACGCCGACTATCCAAAGTAAGGAACAGTTGAGGGGATCCGAGTACAGTACGATTAAGTCTCAGGTATGAGACATGGCTGCAAACCATCCAAAGGACAAAATAGTTGAGTGCCTGTGAGGCTCTAGCTTTTGACTGATCACCAGGCGACAATGGCACGTTTGTCTCTTCAAGTTAGCGTATGAAGTGGAGGTGGCATTCATTCTCATGGAGTGTGCTTCTATTATATGATGGAGGTGGTGTTCATTCTCATGGAGTATGCTTCTTGTTTATTGAATGACCGAGGAGAAAGAGGTTAGGAGGGTGTTGCGTTTGTATTAGGTGGTAACGATCAATATATAAATACTGCGTATGATAGCTTATTCGTCTCTCAGGCAACAAGAAGGTAGGCAATGAGCAAGGCATCTCCAATTCATACAAGAGAATATACTTATAATACAAGAAAATGAATACAACCGAGATGAACACCACACACGCCTGTTCATATACACGCCCCTAGTCGAGACAAAACAGGGGGGCACTGCAAGACACTTAAGAAACCCTTGAAGTAGACCGAACTTGTCGTCCAAATGAATGGGACAGACCTTCGCTCAAGGTTAAGACTGCTATTGGAAAGGAGAAACCCACTACGGTACGAGAGTCTCTCGTACTCAAATTTGTGAGTTTAAAGACAAACAACCTAATGTGCGGGAGATAGTAGAATGCACAGACTGTCGAATGCCTCGTATAATATAGTCTGAGATTGCCTGAACCTCAGCTGAGAAAGATACATCCCTGGAAACCACTGAAGACGAATACTGTATCTATGTGTGTGGGGATAGTGTAGTACTAGTGGGATCTGCACTGGTAGCTCAAATAGTCATGAGGCAGGGGTTGAAATGTCACCAACATATAAACCCAGCGTACTACTCAAAGGGGAAGAAACTAGTGAAGCTGCAGTACGACGGACTGAAGTGTATTCGGTGCGCGGGCTCTGGTGAAGTACACCCACTAAATGACAGGGTATATTTTTCTATTTGCCCAAAATGCTTGGTGTGTCATCGTATGGGCATGAAATAGTGGCGATTGAAAAGCAGGTTTAAGCGAAAGACAACAAGGCAGACGGGCTGCTATAGTAATCAGCTGTTATGAGAATATGTCAGGTAAAAAGGTCCTGCTATAACTAAGCATGCTGCTATAGTAGTCAGTTATTATGAGAGTACGGACAACGAAGAACTTTAATCTATCCAAGACAGCTGAATAAAATGTGCATATACACATATATTTTCGATTTATTAAGCTAGGATTAGCAGTATGCTTCTATGCATATGTATTGCATTTATGTATATATAAATGTATGCATGTCTGTATATATTTAATCATTTATTAATAAATATATGTATGTATGTATGTATGTGTGTATGTACGTATTTATATATAAATATGTAAGCCTGTTTGTATTGTATGTTTGTGTGTATGTATGTATGTATTTATTCATTTATTTATCAGTATATGTATGTGTGTTTGTATTGTATGTATGTGTGTTTGTATTGTATGTATGTATGTATGTATGTATGTATGTATATTATGTATGTATGTATGTATGTATGTATGTATATATGTATGTATAAAACATGGACTACTTCTGTCAATGCGCAGCTGGCCTCGTACAAACTCTGCGATTTTCACGATAACTCTCATACTACAAGCCACGATTTACAAAGGGTGCCTCATGCTGACACAACAACTTGTATCACATGCGCATCCACAGGACAACTTTGACTAAAAATAATATGGACTTAGTCCACAAAAGTGGGAATGCACAATCAACCCTTCGGTATTTGCCATTTAATATTATCTACAATCATTGGTTCATCTAGTTACAATCAACTGTACAGCAGTCCATGTACATTTTTTTCTTCAATATACCAGTAAGGCGGTATATGTTTAAATCGCCTTCTGATTTCATTTGTCGCGATTTCCCACACGTACCCTTGTAACGGGCATGTTTTTCTAGTATCCCGGCGTGGTTCAGCATTCTGGCAAGTCCTTATATGTGACGCATGGCAGCGCGCGAGTCTGTACGCAGCCATACCAGTCTACATTCTTGTTATATATGGTTCAAGGATGGCATCGATTGGCGAGTATAGTCGGGTGTTATGCGTGCATGTATGTATTGTATACTGACTGCATCCTGCGGCCATTGATGCCACATCCTAGCTCGTTTCAGTTCCAAATGGCCCACGCATAAGTGTATGTTGAACATCCCTTGAAATTCAAGCGACACACTTCGCTGGGAGTCTGTCTAAAGTCCATTCCCGAAACTGCAAGCGGTTTCTAAAGCGCGGACCTTGCACGCGTGATCCTATGCGTATACTACACCGACTCGATGAATATCAAGCGAGCTATCTTTGACTCCCAGCTTATAGGACTTGTCCATTATACGACCGGTCCGAAAATACGGCAAGGACAGTCTGACAGCCCCGGCAGTCATCGGCGAGATAGCCGACAGATCCACCACCCTGGCCAGTGCACGGGTACAGTACACGCAAGTACACGCAAGTACACGCTGACTTTCCGACACGTGTCGTAAATTACTTGTCTTGAATTTACGACGTGTACCTTTCGCGGTCCTGCCCCGCTGTTTCACAGTCGCAGTGGTCTGCGTGCTGCGCGGCGTGTGCCGTGCACTCCTGCTGACCACAGTACATAGTCTTCAGCTCACAACACCGTACAACATCATTGATAGCACACGACCCACACCCCTGCTCCCAGGAGCCCAGGCATCCATCACACAGTTCTTCTTCGCACACATGACACGACGCACCCTTGCACGACGCACACGTGGCCATCTTACAGCCCTGGCACCAGAAGTAGTCGTCTTGTGTGAGTGTGGTTCGACAGTCCCCACACTTGACGATGTAGTCGCCCGTATTTGTGCCTGTACACGAGAGATAGATGAGGTATTTAGAGAATGCGTACAACCCGTGCTTCGCGCATATACTCTTCCCCTATTGTAAACAGTGAAAACCGTGCTCATAGGGACGTGGTACACATGAAGCTAAGCCACTGAGGTTGACTAATGTATCTCTTATAAAATTAGTGTGTAGAACGATCGAACAAGCAAGACAACTGCGTAAACGAACTAATACGTGCATCACAGAGTCACCTCTCACTTTTGACAAACCTGTACAATCTACTAGCGGGGTTGAATACAAACAACATCCTCATACATAACCAAATCAACTTCAGTGCAATGTACCTAAATAAAAACTCGATACAATGGCCGCTGATGGATGGTCTCTAGTAGCATACACGCATAACCCTCACCTGACGCTGTAGCCTGGACGATCCGTTCACAAGCGACTTCAGTGTCGTCCTCCATAGTGCACAGAACGCCGTCAAAGTATGCGCGCCACTGCTGAACCTCTCTCGTGTGGTGCGCAACCACACGATGCATCTCACTTTCGTGTCGCATACGCATGTCGCGCATGTACTGTGCTTGCACGATATCCGTCACGTCAGCTTCATTTCCACCTTGTTCGTGTCCCTCGTTGGTGACGTTAGTCTCCGTATCATCTCTCTCATGTCCGCTCATATGCCACTGAGTACGTTTAGTGTACGCGAAGTAGTCAGTCCAGTGTGCCACCTCAGCATGTTGGCGTATCTGTAAGTCGTGCATCTCTCGTGTGTGGCACATATACATATCCCTCTGTTGTCGGGCCCGATCGGCGAGGAAGCGGTCTCTGTCCTGTGCCCACATAAATCCCAAGTCAAGCTTCTCTCGTGCGTGTTGGGCCTCAGGCTTCACGTCATTGTGTGCAAAGCTTGCACCTTCAGGTGTACTTTCCGGTGTACTTTCGTGTGAGAGGTTAGGCGTGTGTGTACGCTCGTGTGACCCTGTAGGTGCATATGGGGAGTGTATATCCGAGTCCACGTAAGTATCCTCCATTGCATATGGTGTTACCTGTCCATTGGTGAATTTGCGCGTGTCTGGCTCCACCTCTACCTCCATCTCCATCTCCATCTCGTCATCCGTAGATGTACTCGTCAGCTGTGCGCTCAGCTTCTTTCGGCCGCGAACCCCTACGACATTACGTGCGGTGTTGTTGGACTCATAGTGTGTAGGGGTGATGGTCTGTGACGTGGTCTCCTCTGAGCTCACGCACACCTCTGATATAGAGGTAGGTTCCATTTGACATAGCATTGTGTTAGGTAGTTAGTATGTGCTCAAGCTACACGTACGTGCGTGCTACTATATAACTACGTGCAAAACTATCGGTGTCGATAGATTATCGTCGAACAAAGTTTGCCCTCCACCGCGTCTCGAAAAGGACGTATACGTTTTACGGATACGTTCCAAGCCTATCTGCTGAAACGCACCAAAACAATGCAACAACAATTAGTCAACTAACCTTCAGAAACTTTAAAACTTTTACGGATAAAAACGTTTTACGCCTCTAAATAGCCTTCTATGTATCTGTTGATATTTAAATACTGTTTCTTTTAGAAAAATATTTATAAAACAAAATACATATTATACATGCGCATACACCCAAACAATACCACAAACTTTAAAAAAAATTAACGTTATACGTATACGTTCTACGCCTATCTGTTGAAAAGGCAGAGCGCCTGAACTATTGCAACGACCACCAACCACAGACTCAAAAGCGTTATACGGATGGAATCTATGCCTATCTGTGGGAATTAGGAAAGCGCCAAAACTGTGTAACAACCAATCGTATACCCTCTTGACTTTTGACTCTGCAGCTAAGCCAATAGCCACGTACATGTGAAATGGCGCCTTTTTTAGTTTTTAGAATAGTTTCCATTTCTCTATCTCTTTCGGGCTAAAGAGAGAGAGAGTAGGAGGGCATTCTGGATTACAGTTTTCACTCTCTTGCGCGTCCTCTTGTGTGTTTGTAGTTTGGTACATATTGTATTTTTAATAAAATACAGACTGTGTAACTATGTAGAGACCATTTATAAAGCTCTCCTGGGCTAAATTCACAATCTACAATACGATGTATGGGCTGTATGGGCTGTGGCATCTACTAGGACCGGATCTTACAGTTTGCGGCACAAATGCAGTGTGCAGCGACAAGACTATATCTAGTCTTACTTATCTCTCACAGGCACTACAACATATATTAAAGGGACTCTGTATAGGGTACTTTCCATGGACATGGCAACATACTGGAATTTCAATCGACGTTGTTAGGTTACAGCTCAGCCGGTGAACAGAATTATGCTGTTATAGAAAAATCAGCTCGAAGGGATGCTTTTCACAAAACGAATCATCGTATATATCTATAATGATAGCTTGAGCTTGTCATCTATATAGAATATATA